AATTACTTAATTAGACTTAGCCCCATCCCTTCCACAGCCCCACTATGAATACTTTCGTACCACCGGGTAGATCAGCAAATCCTATCAACTCTATAATCCCGAGTGTAATTGCCGTGCATCATTCGCCCGGAGCGTATGAGCTGTTTGGAAGTACCTACATTTCACGGACTTCGCTCCGTCAATTTTGACTCGGCTGGACGGTCCTTTTACGACATACTAACTGGTCGCCACCATGGTTCACCTAGTACGGCCTCAATTTCATTCCAGGTCAGTGTAGAACGGCATTTGAGCGAGGCTTTACGATTCCCGAAGCAAGCTGCGCTGATCATTAAATAGTGCAGGCTCGCTGTTCAGGAATCGACAAAACAGCGAACTTCATCCTTCTTCTCCCTCATTCCAAAATGCACTGGAAATTGCTCGTGTCTGCTCTCCTGGCTGTTCTCCCTGCTGCTCATGCTAAAACAGCATGGCAGCAAAGACGGTTCGATGCTGCTGTTCCTTCAACAAAGAATTCGACCTTTACCGCTGACAGCTTCAAGACCAAGAACGATGCCCTCGCAGCTCTTGCGAGTGTATTGGGTACAAGCTCTCCCGTAACGCGGTCAGGTGATCTCTTATATGGCCAGTCCATTGGCAGAGTATGAACTTTCCCACATGACATGGCGGTATCAACTTCGGCATGCTAATCTCGGTTGATAGATATGGACTGATCAAAACAAAATCTTTCCCGATGCAATCGTGTTCCCCTCGAGTGCTGAAGATGTGAGCACCATTATACAATTCTACTCTCATGCAAATACCCTCTGGAAGGACGGCTTCGCCATAATCGGAGGCGGCCACGGAGGCACGGGGGGTGCACAGTCTCCCAGCGTAGTCATTGATCTACGCCTCGTCAACACGACCGAAATCATTTCCAGCAAATCCAATGCTACAGAACCCCCTGTTCTGAAGATTGGGGGTGGTGCCGAAGCCGGATCTGTTTACACTGCGCTTGACGGCACAGGCTGGGCTTTTCTGGGGCCTCGCGCGGCATCTATTGGTGTCGGTGGCTTCTTGCTCGGAGGCGGAATTGCGTTTCAGACGGGCAAGTATGGTGTCGCTGTCGACAGCCTCCTGGGGATTGAGGTTGTTCTTATTGACGGCCGCATCGTATATGCTAACCCCTACAACGAATATAAAGACCTTTTCTGGGCCGCTACAGGTGGAGGCTGGCTTGGCTTCGGCGTCATCACAAACTTCTACATCCAGGCTTACCCGGATCCAGGCGCTGCGTACGTTGCAACCATTGCCTGGGGCGAGGACAAGGCAGAGGAAGTCTTCAAGTTGACTACCGAGTTCTTCGAGACGAACACTGATCCCGAAGCCTTCCCTGCGCTCTTGTATTACTTCAAGGACCCTAAAGACATTACTAGCCTGGTCCCCATCGCATCCCGCCAATTTACCTTGCAGCTCAATGCTGTCCACTTTGGCGGTGGATGGGAGGCGCTAAACGCCAGCTATTCCAAATTCTACCCCAACGCGGACACACTGCAGCTGCAAAAGTTCACGATCCTGGAGCTGGACCAGTACCTTCTTACCAACTACCCTTACGGATACCACCGTGAGTTCTTTGGCAAAAGTCATACCAACTCGACCGTGGACTTCTATCGTAATACGTTTTCCATTTACAAGCAGACGGTTTTGGGTATGATGGAGCGAGGCGAGGATCCAGGGCATACTTTCTGGGTTGACGAATGTAAGTTCTCCTCTACATCTCTTTAATCTCTCAAATTCTAACTTGCAGGTAGACGTCTTCCCTGGATGGAGCGGTACTGGCCCTGAGCATGACAGTGATACCGCATGGCCGCACTCGACCAGCGCACACATTACGCTGACGTCTGGCGAATGGAGCTCCGACAACACGACGCAATACATGTACGACCGTGAACGGGACGGCATGATGGCGTATCTGCGCGAGTTCCAGAATGGGCTGGGCGGGGCACCGATTTATGACTATCCTAACTACATGTGAGTCTTCGCTGTCTGTTTTCTCGAAATATCCCATTCGCTAATTGTTAATGTGTTAGTACGCCGTACAGCAAACCCGCGGAAGTATGGAGCGCAGACAACTTCCGCCGATTGACGGCTATTAAGGAGAAGTATGACCCGGCGTGCCTGCTAAACAGGGGGCGTGTCCCGCCCACCTCGGCTTGCTTGAAGAAGGGTTTCGCGAATACTTTTCTCTAGTGCAAAGAGGGAGTGCGAGATAAGGTAAAAGCTTATTGTATGTGGTCAGTGCATGCAACAGTTCACCCGATGCAACACCCCGCTTAGAATGCCCACCCACTATTAATA